ATATGATTAAATTAAAATTATATTAATATTATTATGTTGAATGAATATAATTACATAAAAATTGTTAACTTATTTATTGTTGAAATTGTTATTGTTATAAATACATTAAAACATCATATAATTTAATGTATTAAATTGCTACATTATTAATAAATTATTATTGTTATATAGATTATGTTACTTCTATATTTAACTTTTAAATTAATATTTTATAACTTACACATATATTAATAAATAACTTATTGTTAATTTTTTACTGCTATAATAACTTGTTTTTATAGAATAATAAAAATTTAACATAATTTTAAATTGTATTAAGTTATTATTGTTATATAGAATATGAGTAATGATCTAATGAGACCCACCGACACCTATGTGTGTAGGACCCCAAAAAATCACCATTAAATTTAATACAGATATCTAAAAACATCAAATCCCACACATATGTAATAATTTTTCTAAAGACCTGTGCCAAATTTAATGGTGATCCTTTGAGGTCATACACACATGGGTGTCAGAAAGTCTTATAGGATCATTACTCATAGAATATATAACAAGTTGTTTAAATAATTTTGAGATGTATATGGAACGATTCGATGAATTGTTGAGACAAGTCAATGAGTGGCACCAACACGATGAAGAGGATGAACAACAACATGTTTCACTTTGACATCATGTTATATTTTAATTGTTGTATACTCTATTTTAGACCATATATTTATATCCATGTTGATTATAAACTCTTTTTTTTAGTGACGTGAAGTTAAGGATCAACATACCTCTAGACAAGGAAACATCTCAATATTAATGAATTTTTACAAAATAATAAAAATACATAATGTACCACCCCTATTTTTTTTGAAAACTCTGGAAACACTATTTTTAAAAAATTTTACTGATTTCTTAGAAGTTTTTGAGACCAAATTATCTGATCCAGATCACCGTTCCCCAGATTTGACCCGATGTTTAGGGTGGCTGATCCGGGTGAGCGATCCGTTTTTAAACCTCAGACCAATGATTTAGCACATTCCATGCAACCCCATGCCATACACAAGATAAAACCAAACTACCCAGGTAGAAAGAAGAAAACACAACAAAATTACAAGCAAAACTCAATCCAAGTTCATACATTCGATTATTTCGAAATGCATCTGCATATTTGGAGGCTTCTCTGCAAAATATAACCTCTCCAAAGCCCTAAGCTTTCCCTCACTCCTCTCTTCCTCGTCTCTAAGAAGCTTCATAAACATGTCTTTCTCGGCCTTGATCCATGTTCGGCGCCTGTCTTGCCACTGCCGAGGAGTACCATGAAGGACAATGCGCATTCCTGCAAAAGGCAAATGTGTAATTTTCTCCACCACCGATTTCTCGGTCAAGTATGCACCTCTGCAATTGAGACCCACATCCACATAGTGAACTTCAACCATGCTCTCCATGAATTCTCTAGGCGAAAAGGCAAACACAGGGTTTTCTTTTCTGGTATTGGGATACAGTTCCCCATTGTTCTCCATGCTCGAGCATGCACCTTCGGTGAGGGGCATTTTGGTCATTTTTTCAGGCATGGGGTTCTCTTCCTTAATTTCAATCACTCCACCCTTTTGAAAATCGGGAATCTTTGCAAGAGACACATTGGGGTTCTCATGCGATCCTTTTGCGCAGGGCATTTTGGTAATTTTAAGGTCAAGCTGAGGCTCTGTCTTTGAGATTGCAAGTTCAGTTAGAAGCTGGTTTAGGACAACCCCGCCCTTGCTGAATCCGAAGATGATGGTTTTCGGGATTGCCCGATAATCGTTACTCTCGGGAGGATTCTTACATGTCGGAGATAGTCGTTGGAATCTGGCAACAGCCTTCTTTGCCTAACAAAATACAAATGAAGGCAGTTCAAACTGACAGAACTGAAATAAGAAAAACCTTTTTTTCTTAGAAATGATATGGCACCTTTCGACATGACAAGGCATTGAGAAACCAGATAAGAATCTCTACCCAATGGTTGTAAAAACGGAGAAGGAAAACAGGAAAAAAATTCAAAAGAGAAATTTGCCAGGCATTCTCAGCCCATTTCAATCCATAAAACCACTGATAGTTTTGACTCCAGAAAGCCACAAAAATTTTCACTAACAATCTCATCTCAATCTTAACCATTAAAAGTACTTACACTTTATTTTCACTAGGTATACAAATCCATTCCTAGTCTCCATTTGAAAATGCACCTGAGGTACCAAAAAGGGAATGGATGTGGTACAATGCAAAGCAGTCCATGATACTGTCAAGCTCTGTGCCAGTTGAGTTTACAAAAAATATAATGGTGTGCAGTTCATCTAATGGCGCAGTTAATGAAAAAAATAGCACGCATAAATTACAACACTTACACAAGACTATTATGGTCATGGCCGTTTGTACACATAGGCCTGGCAAGGAAACCAACACAGCTGAGTCATGCATGGAGCTGGCGAACTAACTGGTGTCACACTTGTGTTGGGTCAAGTCTTTAATTCTTTTGTTTAATTGCTAATATTGTTAGAAAAAAAATTAGTCGTATATAACAATGTTAAAACAAGTTACCAGTTCTTGTCCTAGTTGAGTAAAAATGGTTGTATTGACAGTATGATAGCCTTGCCAAGGCAGTTAGTTGACGAGCAGATTAAGTCTCGGAGTGACTGATATTCATACATCAACTTGAGAAGCAGTGTTAAAGTTGTGTCGCAAAATGACAAACTTGTAGTTTGTGCTCTAATTATGTTTGTTTTGTGTTCCTTGTACCCATTGGACATTGGGGTAAATGAAAATAAATTAAAGTGTACAAAAGTGATAGTATAGAACACCATGGAGCTCTACCCCAAGGAAAAATTATCCACATGATCCTCCCAACTCATTATATCTCTCTACTTAATCTTAAGGATTTTCACTTACAACTGTTTACGCTCTACGCCAATCCTTTTCACCAAGCTTTTCGCTATGTCAACCATGGAGCTTGGTACGATACTAGAATCTTGTAACACCAAAAAAGCAACTTCAAGTCTTTAAGTTCTTCACTTCGGACAAAGAGGCTTGGCGGGAAGGTCAGAGACCACGCATCCACTTCAAGATGGCAGAGCCCTTAAACAACTCATTAGGAAAGCTCCATCTATGATACAACTGAAGCTACTGTAAATACTTGGGCACAGAAAGGAGACCAGGAGGGTTTCCTAAAGAACACAATGATGGATACTATTCTCCAAAAAAAGAAAAAAAATAAAGATGCCAAGGAGACACAAGCTTTAATCTATGTCCAAAGCCGGTCAAATGGGGCACCATAACATGCAGTTAAAGATATCCCTGATCCATGAAACTATATGATTCTTCAGTACCTACCTCAGACATTACTTACTGGAAAAAAAAAAGAAAAAGAAAATAAAATCCACCTCAGAGAAATATTGGTCTACCATGAGTTAGGGAATTAATGTGCTACTTGGGATCCATACATACGATACTGACATTTTTAAGCACTCACTGTGTTGAAGTGAAAATCACAAGCACGTCCATCAAATGAAGAAAAAGCACAAACACATAGGCTTTGCCAAGTATGACAACAGGCCAAACATCTTTCAACTATCCCAACCTGAGTAAGTTGGGAATGAGGGTCCCAGAAGTAAATACCATATCCATATGCAATTGTTCTCTAGGATAGAACTCCAAGAAAAATGTACAAGGTATCATATTTTACAAAATCGAAACAATCTTGAAAGCAATATAGCATCAGTTGCTGGAGCATTGTCCTTCAACATAGACAACCCCAGCAGAAATCTCCTAACCTTGGTCTCTCTCTTCCTCTGAAGCATCTAATTTCTCAAAGGAACCACAATCTCCTCAGAGATGGACATAGGGTACTCTTTAATAACATTGTACACTCAAAAGGTCTTTACCAACTTGCACCTTCAGGTGATTCCTTGTATCAGATGACATATGAACAATCGTTTTGAGGTCTGCACTTTTAGACCACTCGTCCTAGAAAGACTAACTGACTACATTCATTTTGGCTGCTCAACTAAGGCACTGTTTTGTTCCACTTTACACCCCCTAAAAGTTCCACTACACACGTTCATTAACTTAAACCCCGCCAAACCTTCTCCAGTAATTTCTTGCCACAATTCTTTAGCGATCCATAAAATCCAGGCACCTCCAACCATTTATTTTAAATTAGAGGGCCGAATAACATAGAGTCCAGGGAGATAGGGCTATGGTCCAAAACAAGACAAGGCAAGTGATGTGGGCCATCATGGGCCCTCATTGCCATGTAGGACAATTTGTGAGTAACTTGGACTGTTGATATGGCAGTGTGGGTTCCAAAGTATGTCATTTCACATGAATTTTGTTATTCCAAAGTGTCTTTAGTATGTTTTGTATTTTCTAGGGTCATTAATGTCTAGGGAAGACAAAGAGAGTTAGCATATTGGTTCTTGTGTATTTGGAGGTTGTGGTAGATTTGGAAAAATGTAGGATGATTAATAATGTCTTAGGAAGTAGTAGATTTTTTGTGATGGGAATTGTATGGCTTTAAAGAATGTTTGTCAATTTGGTAAAAGCAAGTATGCCGTTTTGGGTGTGTGCAATCTTGAATTGAAACTAATGAAAATTGAATAGAAAATCTCAAAGTGATAGAGCTTGTCTCCAGCTAACTCTTTCCCTCTGTTTCTCTCTCTAGTTGCTGTACTGTTTTCCCCTCATCAGCAAGGCAAGTTTTCCAAATGCTAGATATTAAGGAACAGTGTAGACATTGAGCACTACAACCTCCTAAATGTCGACCATGTTAAGTGAACACCTTCAAGATGAAGGTCAGCTAGAGCGAGGTCACACCAGCTGACCAAATGAGTAAATATGGCCATGCTAGACTAATGGGGTTCACATTGTTTTCTCTCTTTCTCAAAGCAGAATTGCATTACATTGAGGTCACCACCAAATGCCACTACACCTATGAGTCAATCCATCTAGTCCTAGAACCATTGAGTTCCACCCCTCCCATATTCTAAAGAAAACAAACTTTACCTAATAGACAACTATAAAACTTACCAGTAGAGCCATGTCAAACTCCTCAGTTCAAAAACACACAAAACAATATGGTTCCAATCGAGCGTCTTCTATCCCTGAACTACTAACCTCTCTAAACTGGACACCAATAGTGAAATCCAGGTAACAATTCTCTCCTAGAAAACCCAAACCCTGCTCCACACACCCCTCCTTACAGGATTGGTCTTCAATCACAATTGAGATAATTCTAGGATTGGTGTTTTGTTATAAAGATTAGCATATATACAAATCAATACCATGCTATCACCTAACATTGATCCTTGATTGACAATTCCATAAAACCCTAACCATGCTCTACCTCCATCCTCCCTTGAACTTTCAGTGTTGGCCATACTTTTTTTTCATTGAGTACCTCATAGGATTGGCCTTCAATCACAATTGAGATAATTCTACGATTGGTGTTTCATTGATAAAATCAGTATATATGCAAATCAATTGTATGCTATCACCTAATATTGATCCTCAATAGAAGCTGCCATAACTGCCTCCAGTGGCATGAGAAGGGAATACCCATCCATAAGGAGCAACGCCATTAACCCTGTTCCAGGTTCAGGCAAGCATCAAGGTTAATCCCAAAGAATAGTGCAATGTGACTTGTTAATGAATTGAGAGAGGTGACTGGATCAAGTCTTTAGTGACTCATTAAACATATCAAGTAATCTTGCAAATCAAAGCTACATCAAGATCAAGGAAGAAAATATTTTTTCCGGGTAGATATCAGCAGTTGGGCTTGAAATTAGGATGTCCGTAAATCACAACCAAGCCCAAATCCTAAGGAATATTCCGGTTAGATCTAAAATTATACATAATGGTCTAGCCTCAGATCTAATATTTAACTCTGAAGGGAGCCTTTATCAACCATACTCATCTCCTTTAATTTTCTTTTTTTACTTATTCTGATTGTAACCATAGGATCTATTCAGTTGGACCTATCCAATTTTACTTGAATACTCGAGCATAAGGACACAAAGGTGTGAAGTTATGCCCTAACCACAAAAAAAAAAAAAAGTAGAACAACTAATGGATAAATGGCACAGAACTAATATTCCTCATAGGAACTAGAATTAACTTCTACTTTTCAGAAAAAAAAAGGCAGAGTACATAGTAGAAAATTATGTATCAATTCCAACGGTTCAACCATAAGAAAGTAATCAAGAAACAAAATACCACTGGAAGCGATGTGAATAGAAAACTAATCAAATAAAATAGCATACTTAGCTTTTTGGACCTACTACATAGTAGAACTATTGACATTTCCTTATAAGGCGATCATGCACAACACATGCAAATAAACTGTGAGAGACTATAACAAGATAGGAATGTGCATTCGGACGAGTATAATAAATGGTAAAGTGTGTGCTTGGATTGACATGTAAATTGTATATGAGTTGTACTCTCTAACCCTTGTATCACCATTATATATAAAGCAATGAAAGAACCACCATAAGGATGGGGCACAATTTTCTGTCATGAAGTTCCTCTCTCTAAAATTTGCCAAATACATCTCTCTCTCTCTCTTTAAAATTGAACAAATTACAAAATAAATAAATACAAAGTAGCAAACACATACCTCATTCACGCACTGTGACATGAGCAAAGCAATCGAAGTCGATGCAGGAAAACCATCTGATTTATAAGAAGGTGGTTCTCCCCATTCATTCACAGAGTTCAAAAACTCCTTATAAATTGCAAAAGGCCCATTAAAAGTTGAAGCCCCCACAACCCAAGCATTAACAGAAGAACCCAATTTTGAAACCAGGATTGAAGCTATGTTCTGAGGGTCTGAGAGCCTCTCAATCACAGGGTTTCCAGTGCATTGTACTCTATCGCCATTAAATAAAATTGCATTAACAGAAGGCACCTGTTCCTTGCAATTCAGAGAGAGAGAGAGTGTGTCTGTGTTAAAGAGAAGAAAACAAGGGAATTTCGAAATGACTGCTATGAATTGCATTCAAATATATGCAAAAGAGAAGAGAGACGAACCTGAGTAAATGGGACACATATAAAGTAAGTTTTTCCCATTTCATTTTTGCATGTAACAAAACCATATGTAAAAATAGAAGAAACCGAGAATTCGGGTTCATAGGTGTAGAGAAAGACGGATTCCACAACACCGTAACAATCCGCTTCCCAAGGCTCTCAAGCAAATAGAAAGAAAAAGAAGAACCAAGATGAAGTGGAAGCAAAACTTCATTAAAGAAAAACATGGGGTACACAAACGCATTACAATCTCAACACACAAGATTAACCTTAACACATGTGAACCCGGGGTACACAACGGCATTACAATCTTGACACCCAAGATTAACCTTAAACATGTGTCCCAATTTCTCAGCACACACCTCTCTTTAAATAGAGGTTTGTATAACCATATTTCCTACAATAACTACCCACTTGTAACAATAACTACTAACCACCTAGTAGTTTTACAACTTCTTACTACACAAACTAAGTGCAACCTTGCTACATCACTCATGATAAAATAACATAAAAACTAAGATACCTTCTAGGAAATACACTTTGACAATATTAACAATAGGTTTCCTGTATTGGGCCAACATCTTACTGGAAAATACACACATTTGTGCCCCATATATCCAAATATGGTTAGAGTCATAATGTGTATTTCATTTGATTGCTCTGAAGAAATGGAAAATTATGAAAAGCAAAGCAGAAGGAGAAACTAATGGTCTCTGAGTTTTGATCAGAAGATAAAAAAATCATGAGAAAGAGAGAGAGAGTTCTGGTTCATGGGTTTTGATCAACATAGCAAATTATCAATTTTATCACGATAGAGAGAGAGATTTTCTCAACTAATTGCTACCAATGCTAGCACAAAAAGATGAGAAAGTGTAAAATTCAAATTATGGTTAAAAGTAATAAGGATTCTTTCATTTGATTGCCTTGAATCCACTGATCGAAATGCAAAATTATGAAAAGGAAAGAAGAAATATAGAAACTTATTGTCCCTGGGTTTCGATCAGAAGATAAAAATTATCATGAGAGAGAGAATTCTGGTACATGGGTTTTGATCAACATATAAATTTTGTAGCGAGATAGAGAGATTTCTCAATCAATTGCTACCAATGGTCCAATACTAACACAAAAAGATGACAAAGAATAAAATTCAAACACAAGGATCTAAATTTGAATGCTCTAATAAAACTGTAAGATTAGAATGTAAAGAAATGCAAAAATATTGAAAGGAAAGAACAAATAGAAACTTGTGGCCCATGGTTTTCTATCAGAAGGAAAATTAACACGAGAGAGAAAATTCTGGATCATGGGTGTTAACCAACATGTTAATTTATCACGATAGAGAGAGAGATTTCCTCAATTAGTTGTTTCCAACGGTAACGAAAAAAGATGAGACAGAAGATATAAAATCAAAGAAAAGAGAGAAATAGAAATTATGGGATTTAATGGATTCCACTTACAGAGAGAGTGTTTGTTAATGAAGAGAGACAGAGGGAAGCTCCAACTGTGAAGTGAGAGGAAACATTTTTAGGGTCCAATGAGACCCTCAAAAGCCCACACCATCGATCCATGGAAGAACAAGGCTTTGAACTTGGGGTATATGTAGAGGGGCATTTTCGTCATTTACAAGGAAAATAACTTTCAGGTGAAGGGTAATTTAGTCCTTTAAGAGGCGTATATTAAGTTGGACCGACAGGTTAGGATTGAATCTACTTGATTTTGACCTAACTTGTGTTAGATCCAAATCAACTTGACCTAACCCAGACCAAACCCAACCTAGGGGGTCGGGTTTAGGTCCAATTAATTATTGGGTAGGGTTTAAGTCTAATTAATTTGGACACGATGGGTCCTTTTCAGGGCCGACCCATTCTCAAAAGGACCCATTTCCCACCCGTAGCTGTGTGTGTTCTAATTTTTCACCTATTTTGAAACCTGCTCTTAAAGGGTGGTATTTCAAGGACCTCGACTGTAAGTTAATTTTTGTCCTTACTATAAAATTTGAAGTGCAGATTTGGTAAATTTGAAAACTTGAAACTCATGCTCTAAAGTTCATGCTAAAAGAGATCATGGCTTGAAGTTATGACACAAAAATTGTATTTGCTTTATAATATGTTGCCTTTGCATTATAATTTCCCTTCTTTTAATTATTTTTGCATCATAAATTCAGCCCAGTCTTTGCATTATAAATTCAGTCGGGGGTTTAGAAATCATTAGGGCATTATTAGTTATAAAGGAACCTTTGTGTGATCTTTTATTTTTAGATTTCATTTGTGAATTCACTTTTTATCAAGGAAATTAGGTGGTGCATCAGTTTGACATGCTGCTATTCATAGATACTAATTCCAAAATGCAATCTTGTTTATCGGCGACAAACAAACCAAAAAAAAAAACCTCTTTGCTTTTTTTACTAACAATCAAAATCTTGAATATTGTTATAAGTGGCTATTGAAAATTTTTCATTTTCATGACTGCCCACAAATATGAGTTTAAATAGGGTTCTGATATGGCCATCAAGAAATTCAGACAAGGCCTTATCCTATATATATTATGTATTTACCAACTTCTCTATTCTGACCATGAATGGCATATCCAAAGATTTTGATTCGGATCGGCAATTTTTCAAATTTACTACACTTACATTGTTGATGTACTTCACTTGGGAATCAAATCGTTGATGTGCTTATTCCGTAGTCAATGGGGAGTCTGGATCAGCCTTTGAGCTTCCTGCTGCTCTACCCAATTTTTTGGAAAGGAATTTGGTAATATAGGGCAACCATCCAACCACTTAAATGTCAGAAAAGAATTCTGATGTTGAAATCAATGTTTTTAAACTTGGTTGGGCCTCAGACTCGGTCCTAGCCTTAGCTGAGTTGCTCACCCAAGTCTGTGTGGACTTGGTTGAGCAGCGTATAAGGCAAAAAAAAGGTAAAGATAAATATAAAAAATTGTTCAAAATAGTTAAAAACTAGAAATTAGAAAAAATAAAATAAGTAAAAAAACATTAGAAAATCCAAAAATTATATTAAATATGGATTATTAAAATTTTTGATTTATACCTATAAATATCCAAAAATAAATAAAAAATTAGAACATGTAATAAGAAAAGTTCCCAAATCATAATAAAAACTATATAAATCATTTGAAATTTTATTTCTAAATTTTTATTTCAGTTTTGTTAACAAAAATAGGACTTTTTAATCATTTTAAATAGGTGTGACTTGGCCCCTAAAACTCATTTCGGTCATAGGCCTAATTACTCAGCCAAGTCCGAGTGGATTCAGATGAGTCCAAGTGAACTCGGCTAAGTCCTGAAACACGAAGAAATTGTTAGTTTTTACTGTTTCAAAACAATAGTATTGTGTTCTATATGAGTCTATGGTCAAGAGGATTACAACTATACGTTGTCACAAGATTATATTGTATGCTAGACCACAATGTATAGTAGGTTCCGGAAGGACCACACTCACTTTTCATACCTTTTGCAACAATTAATTGCCTCACGGTTGCTGGGGACTGTTACCTTAGTAACATTAAAATAAACTTATAGTAAATGCACAGTAGAAAAAGTTTATATAAATAAGTGTGCCGTTTGTATAGAACCGAGGCTCTAAACAATCAAATTAGATCTCACCTTCAATTAGTGTTAAGAAATATGGTTTCAATATTGGACACTTTTGTGATAGCTTTAAATTATATTTTCATTTTTAGTAATAAAAAACAGTTTAGATCAAGCAGATCTATGAAAACTTGAAAATCTTGAAAATTGATGGTCCAAAAATGTGTTATAACATGCACTATTTCTAAAATTTGAAATCCATTTTTTTCTCATGTCCATGTATATTTATGAGAGATGATTAATTTGATGATTTTTTAGCATTAACTTCTTCTAGTGAAAGCTTTAAGGTAATATCTAATTTGATTGTTTAGAGCCTTAAGTTGTATATAAACTTTTCCCTATAAAATAATGTTAAGTTTTAAAAATAAAAAGTGAACTACATGTTAAGTTTTATACTATTTATGGCTGTAACGTTAGACAGTGTACATAAAATAATTTTCACACATGTTATCAAGTTTTTCCTCTATAAATATCGGTGGTTTCTTCCTGAAAAAGATGGAATTCATGAAAGAAAAGTGAGTAGAGATTGAGTGTATAAGGTGTGTTAAAACTCTCACTCTTTGAGAAGAGAATATCCGAAGAAGTTTTAGACAAAGCACCTTGAGAATACTTCTACTCTCAAAGAGCAATCTGAGGTAACTTCATGTTTATTTTTTGGTTTTACAGGAAGATTTGTTCATAATTTATTTTCTGGAGCAACAAAAAATTATAATTTTATAGTTATTTTCAATCAATCATTATAGTTGGTTTTCTGTTGTTCAATATTTGAGTTGTGGCTTCAGACAAGTTACTAAGAGTGCAATTCGGTAACTTAAAAGTGAAATATTAGACTTGGCTGTATCCTAGAAATGTAATCGTCAGGACCGATTGCATCAGGAGAGTCATGGGTGTTTAACACTTCGAAAAAAGCGAAAACAATCTCGTGCTTCCAAGTGTTCCTTATGAGTTATTTTAAAATTTATGCTACAAAAGAAATTTTAGAATACACCGAAGTAACAATTTTGAAGTTTAAAATGTTTAATTTTGGAGATGTCTATTGATGACTTGCTAAAGTATAAAAACCAAGATTTTGTTAAGGCCAGATCAATTTTGATAATACGCATCTTTTAAGATGGCAATAGAAGTTTTTTCCCAGAAATTGGAAGATTAGTAATATTGTCTGCCTGCTAGTCATGGATTTGTTGAATTCATAATTTCTCAAGTTACGTTGTAGGCTTCGAAAGAAGCAAAGGCCTCTAGCTTATGTGATCGATGAATATATTTTATTGTAATCTCCTATTTACAAATTGCAAGGGGCACTGTTACTTATGAGCGGATTAAGATGCCACCAGATATGTTTTCAAAATTCAAGCATATGGTGGGGGGATGACATTGTCTTATAAAAGGACTACCCCATCTCTGTTAATATAATTGGAAGATAGACATCTGAATTAAAATTCACATTATAGAGGTCCTTACTTTTATAAATGCGTATTATGCCTATAACTTTGGAGAAATCTTGTTTTAACATATTTGAAAAGTAAGGCTTTGTGCTCATCTGTGAGTCCGACAAGTTCATTGGAAAAGGATATGCCTTAGAAGGTACGTTCAAATTGCTTTGGAATGATGAGACAAATAGCCTTCTTTTGCCTATTCTTATTTATTCCTTTTTATGGCATGACAAGTGGGCTATGATATTATTTTCATGCTTTTAAGAAATTATATTGCATGCACTCGTGACATTATTACTGTCTGCTGATTTACTATTAAAGATATGGACGAGTTGATGTGATTCATCTGATTTTGACTTGATTAATGCTCATATTAAACTCAGAAAGAATCATAATATTTATAATTTCTGATTTGATGACGTAAGAATTATTGAATGTTTAGCGATAATATTGGATATATATGTCAATATTGCAGGTATACAGTTTATGGGGTACTGAGATATTTCAAAGGAATCATGGACTCTAATTAATATCATGTGCGTATTTCCATTGTATTTAAAAGATACAGTGATGAATTACGGATTGCGGATTTTGATGAATCTATGATTATTAACGGATAAATCACCATTTATAATGGGGGGTGTTTTGTTTTTGGAATTTCAAGAATAATGGGTGTGTTTTATTTTTGGAATTTCAAGAGGTTGACATGTATCTCCCGATCCACAAGAAATAAGAGAATCGATATTAAAGAGGGTAAATGGCTAAGGATTCATCAATATATTCCACCAATTTTTTGGTCCATGTCGCCAGTGTCATCTGATATGATTGTAAATCTATTGTATACCAAGAAAATGTTAGGGATGTATTCCGTAAAATCTTTTTATACTTGCCCGAGGCACAATCAATTGAAACCCATACTCGGAGTCATAATAGTACGCTATGTACACTACTCAGAACTTGGCAAAACAATAATAAAAGACCTTGCAAGGTACCAAGCCTGGAAGGTAGCTAGAAGGACAAGATCGAGCTCAAATATCTTATGCCACAAGATAATGGGAACCCTACACTAGGATGAGGAGATCCCCAGTCCAAGGTTCAAAGGGAAAAATAAATCACTTGTGTGAAGTTTGATAGATATGTACCACAAAATACTACGTGAAGGAAATTTGTAAATTTTTTGCCCCATCCCTGGTCTTGTGTTATAATGTACTGCAACGAATGGAGAGGTTGATTTTTTATTCATAATGATTTCATTTGCCTAAATGATGTAAGGTCTAAGCTAGAGTGTCACTTATATGAGTGTGGAAGTGGAGGCCGCTTCTTATGAGAATTAGGCATTCTTTAGAGTGCTCATGAGAACCAGTATTGGTACAA